TCACTGTCAAAGGTGGACTGTGCTTCTGTTGCAAGCAGAGTGATAAGTAGTATATTTGTCTAGTAGAAATCTTGTATGTAGGTAATATTTTTCCCAACATGCTTTCTCTTGATTTGTGTTCTTCTCCCCATCTAAAATGTCCTCTCTTCCCATTGGCATATTTAAATCCTAAATGCATCCTGTGTCTTTCATGGCTCACTTCTTTCCTACAGTAGCTTAAAAAATTATGCCAAATTCCGCACAGACTGTTATAGTCATCCATTAAAAAATATGACTTCCATCCGACCTCATGACAACTACTTCTGTCTTAACTTGGAAGTACATACAGTTTTATTTTTCATAGAGTATAGATCTTTGGACTGTCTGCTGCTTGGTTCCGGTTACAAGCTCTGCTGTAGGAAAACATTCCTAGATTTCTATAAGGCTGTGTCATTCTTCAGTTTTTTAGTGTTGTGAACTGCAAAGTGTGGTCTGTGTGAAAAATCATGTGTGCTAGCTAGGGGAAGGAATGGGTAAGGAAATTTTAAGAAAGGAAGCAAAGTATATCATGTATGTGCACTTAATCCCTAAGGTGATTGCAAGATGTATGTACTGAAAATACATACTCACAAAAAAAGTGTTGTCAAAAATGTACTAACCCCTTTAGTCAAGCTTAACATTGAGGAAGATGACCATATTATTTTGGTTCCTTTGGTTGAAATACTCTTATTAAATTTGGTTATGCTTCAAAAACTTTCAGTGTGAGGTTTCAGTCCATTGGTGGAGTTACGAAATTTGGTGGTTCCAACCAGTATTCCTTGGTTTTATATTGTTTTGCTTTTTTACTATTACATTTAAACATTAATAGTTATATTGGTATTAATGTTTTGATCTTTCCTTTTGGTAAGCATTGCTTCATGAAACTTTTTAGCTCTTTATGTAATATGTATACTCTGGGTTGCTATGAAAAATGTATTACTGTGTTTTGTGTGAATAAAATTGAAAGCTTACTATATTTTATCATACTTTCTCTTATTAAACTACAGGGACGGATGAAAAAAATAGGTGTTCATAGGTAAAATTTATTACAATGAAAGTCATATTGCCATTAATCCCTCTCAGTGTTCCCACCCACATGAGCACTTCTAACACATTTATCCTATCATTCCTGCCATTGTCTAAAGCAATTCTGGCAGTCTTTGTCAGTGTTTTTATGAATAAATACAGTGAATTCTTCTGCTGTGTGCCATGCAAAGGAAAGGCAGATCTGTAAAACATTATGATGTTTTCTCATCAGACTTATTCACTAGGTTTAGCACTCTACAACTTCTGGTTCTTCCCCAAAATAAAAAAGACTATGAGAGAGAAATGTTCTGAATTGATTCAGGTCATTGAAGAGCCTCAGTAGTGTAATTAAAGAAATGAAAAAGAACTTCTAGAATTGCCTCAGAAAGTGGCAACATTGATGGGATAAGTGTGTTAGACATATGCCTTTTATTATAATAAATCAAAAATTTATTTTTTGTTTTTATTTAGTATGGGGTCTTGCTACGTAGCTCAGACTCGTAGTGATCCTCCTGTCTCAGCTTCCCCAGTGCTGGAATTGCAGGTGTGCGCCACCACACCCAGTCTCTCAAGGCCAGCATGGTGCACCTGGGGTTCTGGGTCAACATGGCATGTGGTACTGAGGATCAGACCTGGGTCCTTGTACTTGCCAGGCAGGGACTTAAACTGCTGAGCTATCTCCCTACCCCCATTATAATAAATTTTTAAAAAACTTAAATATTTACTTTATTTCCTTGCGGACTAAAAGAGGAAAGCTTTTCTCCTTATTCTCATCTATAAAATGCGAATAATAAACTGGTACTATATGGAATTATAAGTTATAAATATCCTTAAGTTATGCTTTAGTAAATTTTTTTGCAGGGAAATGACAAGGTGTTTATCAAGCACTTTCATAGAGGGCTGGGAATGTGGCACGATGGTAGGGCATTAGACTAGCCTGTGTGAGGCTCTGGAATTGATTTCTGGGTTCAGAGTAATGATGACACAGGATGGGAAACATGGAATAATACAGATCAGTATTGTTTTCTATACTATGACATCAGAATCCCTTTGAAGGTCTAAATTCTTCATGTTAAACATTGTATGTTCTTGGCTGCTTTGTAATATTAATATGTATGTACCATAAAATATTTTTGAACAAAATGATAAGTTTCATTTGATTAGGGTAAACCAGTTTGTATAGTGAAAAATGTCTGAACAAAGAAGACTTACACAAGTGTAGAAAATCACAATTTTCTGAATTTGCCACTAGGGACGTATACTTGTTAAGATTTTCTCAGTGGTATGTGTTTAGAACATAGTATTTAGGGTTAGGGATGTAGCTTTGAGGTAGAATACTTTCCTAGTATTTATTAGGTTCTTGGATTCCATCTGAAGCACAATAACAAAACCCATAGCATTTGCCATTTTGGACTTTTCGGAGTCATTTAAAACTGAAAACAATTTTTTTTTTTTTTTTTGTGGAACCGGGGATTGAACTCAGGTCCTTGTGCTTGCCAGGGAAGCACTTATTCCACTGAGCCATGAAAACAATTCTTAACTATACTTGTCTGGCCATATTTAACATAAATTTTAAAGGGGCCATGTTTTTCAGTCAGTGCATAGTGCCTGCCTGACAAGTGTGAGGTCCTGAGTCCAAGTCCCAGTTCCAAAAAAAGAAAAAAATAAACTTTAATAGATAAGTAGTTCCTTGTGGCCCAGAATGTTTGAAAACCAAATGTCCTTATAGCTCTAGTTTTAATCTTTACAGCCTTTAATAACTTGGATAATTTTCAATTGCAAGTCAAATAAATTTGGGAGAGTTGATCTTAATAGGAATCAAAGCAAAAGTAGAGAGGGGACACATCCTGTGATGGCAGTGCAAGAAAGTAGGAAATGAAATAGTATAGTAAGAGTTTTTGACCTTGAAGTCTAGGGCACAGTAAGTGATGAAGGAAAATATGTATTTGCTCAGATGGTGAAGTCCAGAGGGCTGATATGTGCTTTAGTAAAGAGTAGTAGACATAGCTCTTTAAGTTTCAGGGTAAAAATTAAGAGATAGCTTGCTTTACCTTAGAGGTGTTTGGATTTTTTTATGTGTCAGTGTTAGAATGTTTCCTAGTTATATTTGAGGAGGTATGTTGAATGAAATCACTATTGGTTTTTGGGATCATAGGGGAGGGAATCTAGGAAGTCAACAGTCTAGCCGTAAAATTAGAAATACAGGGCTGTCCAGATAGCTCAGTGGTTTAAAGCACCTGCTTAGGCAGACACAGTGGCTAGGGTTTGCAGCGGCCAGGATTCGATCCCCGGTGTGCCATGCTGGCCCCACCCCCCCAGGGCACACTGACATGGCTATTGAGACTGGGCATGGTGGCGCATGCCTGTAATCCCAGCTCTTGGGAGGCTGAACACAGGCAAATCACTAGGAGTCGGATGTACATAGTGAGACTCGATAGACCCTGTACTAAAAATACAAAAAAAAAAAAAAAACAAAAAACCAGAAAACCAAAACCAAAAAACCCAGAGAGACATGCAGTTTGTTTAATATGAAATAAGAAGGTCAGTTTGGCAGTAGCTTGTAAAAGTTGACTAGATTTGAATGCATTTCATATATATGTATATGTATATATGTATATGTATATATGGAGAGAGCTATATTTATGAGTATAAAATAACTTGTCGAGCATCTTAAGGTCCACTTCAGATAAACTTTCACATACTTTGAGAAACATCTTCAGTTTCTCAAAGGTGAATTATCTTACTAGAAGATAGAAGAGAAGCATTTCTCAAATGAAGGGGATCTTAGAGTCTTTGGGATCAGAACAGTAAAGGTTTGAAAGTTTTGCCATTTCATTTTATTTAGGTCAGTGATTACTGTGAATCTTAACTTTATCTTGTCTGACAGGATATATTTTTAAGTTGAGGATTTTTGTGTGAGATTTAGGTATAGGTTAGGTATCCAGCAAGTGGTAGCTGTTACTATTAGTCCTTTTAAATTTCTGACTGCAAGGATCTTTTTTGAGGAAAAATTTTGCTGTATAGTTAAGGCTGGCCTGGAACTCACTGTCTAGCCCAAATTGGTTTTGAACTCACATCAGTCCTCCTGTGTCAGCCACCTGAACACAGAAATTGCAGACATGCACCACCATAACTGGCTCTAACGTACTTTTAATAATTTTAGATCTAAACGTTTTAAAGGTGCAATTGTTTATCATCAAAAGATGAAAAAAAATTGTCTATTTTGCATCTACTTTCATTGCCCACACTTAATAAGTGACTTGTCTATTTTGTTAGGCATATGAGTTTTCACAGTGTTGCAACATTAGTTTAAATTTTAAAATTTTAACTTGCTAGATTTTCTTGTTAAATTTGCAGTATTGTTTTGTGGCTGGACTATTTTTCCATATCCTCATATATGTAGTATGGTAGATGTTTTAATTTGAATTTTTCTAACTAAAGGCAAGTTATTAGAGATTAAAAATTGGTTTTCCTTTTTATGTTTTCTAATGCTTAGGATATATCACTAAGGAAAATACCCTGAATCTGTTAAAGTGAACATTTTTTAAAATGTTCACTTTTAGGGGATCTTGAAATGACTATATAGTAGAATTATGACATTTGTTACAATTGTAATGAATTGTAACATTTTATTTTCAGTTTGTCTAGCATTTTCTGATTCTGGTCTGAGAACAGAGTAGACACTGGCCAAGTGGACACTGTTTAAAAATAATAACTAAGACAAAGATCTACACTAATACCTAAAATTTACTATGATATTCATTGTTAGATATGTTCTAAGTTACTAATAAAAGCTTATAAAGTCAATGGAAAGAAGTGAGGTCTAATTCAATGAAATTTGTTATGTCCTATTTTAAAGTACAGGTCAAAGAACTTTACATTTTATTTCTTATTTAAAGTTTTTTTCTTTTTCATAATGAGGTGAAAGCTGAATTGGTTCAACTTTTATATTGTAGGAGATTACCTGGAGCAATTGATGTTATTGGACAAACTATAACTATTAGCCGAGTAGAAGGAAGACGACGGGCAAATGAAAACAGCAACATTCAGGTTTAGTATTTTAAAATGAGTTTTTATAACTAAGAGATTATATCTGCAATCTAATGTAATTTAGAATTTATGATTTCTGGATCTTAGGTTTTTCTCTTGTTATAAACAGTGTATAATTTTGTGTTGATGAAAAAATTGGATTAGAAAACTAGTAAGTCTCCATCTAAATATGTCCTTTAATCTGTAAAATACTGTCTAATCACTGTGACTGCTTTCTTAAATTTGCCATCAGATACTTAGTGTGATCTTTCTGGAAAGCATTCCTTTTTCTTCGGAATGAAAAAGGGAGAGGAAATGAGTTACGAGTAAATTGGACAACTAGTGTTAGAACTTTATTAATGGAGCCTGCTATCTGTACAGCTTGACCATCCTTTTAAATCATTTATTCCTTTTTTCTGAATACCCTAAAGTATATTTGAGGTGTTTTGATTCTTTTCTTCAGTAAATTAATTATATAAAATACTCTCTTTTTTTAGTGTATTCAGAGTGAAAGATAAGCCTCTATTACTTTCTCCCTTCTATTAAAATAGCATGATGTCTTAAAACATTTTTTTTCCCTAATTTAAGAATAGGTTATGTATATAAATCTTACAAAAATTACTGTATTGAAATGTAGGAAGAGTTCATGAAAAGGAGTCTCATCTGCTTAAATGATCTGCTTTAGTCAGCAAGAATTCAAGAAATACAAATTAAATATATAGAATTATGTTAACAGTTTTGTTATTTTCAAAACCTGTTTGTATATCAAAAACTTTTAAGCAGCTTATCAAAAGTTCACTAGGTGTTGCTTTATTTGCCATTATGTTTCAGTAGGTTTGGCATGCTTTTGGTGATGTCCATTCCTTACCCGTTTACATAGACACACATTTCTTTTAAAATACTGCGTTTATTTTTGAAGTAGAAATTCTTGTTCCATTCTGGGTGTTTAGTTTTGTTTTTTTCTTTGAGATAGGGTCTTGCTATGTAGTTCAATTTGGCCTTATACTCACTATGTAGCCAGACTGACCTCAAACTCACTGCAATCCTTCTGCCTCAGCCTCCCAAGTGCTGGGATCACAAGTGTGTGCCACCATGCCTGTCCCTGGAACATTTGTTCTTACTATATAGTCATTTCAAGATCCCCTAAAAGTGAACATTTTAAAAAATGTTCACTTTAACAGATTCAGGGTATTTTCCTTAGTGATATATCCTAAGCATTAGAAAACATGAAGAAATTGCATATATGTCTTATTGCCTTTTAAGTTCCTGCCTGTGGAAACCTGCTTTACAGTCTGTACTTGGTGAGGGTAGGCTTTCCTACAGTGAGTGTATGACATGAGGTCCTTTTAATTTCTTAGAGTATCTGTGATTCATGATTATATTGCCTTAACTAGTTAACTGTTGCATAGTAACAACTACTACAGTTTACATTATATGAAGTACTTATTTGGATTTTTAAAAACCACTTATTAATAAAAGTTTTCATGGTAATGATCAGTTTTTTTTTCAGTGAAATTACTTTTGTAAGATTAACCTTAGAAAACAACATTTACTCATCCCTCTGATGACCTGTCCTCTAATTTTAGGTTCTTTCTGAAAGATCTGCTACTGAAGTAGACAACAATTTTAGCAAACCACCTCCATTTTTCCCTCCAGGAGCTCCTCCCACCCACCTTCCACCTCCTCCATTTCTTCCACCTCCTCCAACTGTCAGTACTGCTCCACCCCTGATTCCGCCACCAGGTAAATAAAAGGCATATTAGTTTAACCCCAACAGATTTACCCTGGAACTAACATTTGTATCTTGTTATTTCAGCATAGGATAATTATAGAAAACAGTACAGAAATAAGAATTGTCCTACAAGTATGATCATGATTCCTGAACTAGAGTTGCTGCTAATATTATATATGTGCGCACACACACACACACACACATACATACACACATCCTTACTGAATTGTATACCATATGTTAACTTGCTTTTTTTGTTGTTGTTGTTGTTCTGAAAAACTTTTAAAGGTAATTTTAGCAAGGGAGTAGGTCCAAAAAAGTGTATCCTTTAAAGAGATAGAAACTAAAATTTGAGTTTGATTTCCTTTTAGGTAATTGGTGCTGGTTGCCAGGACCTGGCATTTGCTTAATTTTAAAGACAGATAAATATGGTAAATTTTAAATCTTCGGTTACTTTTTGGTGATCAAAAACCAGGTTAGTGGTGAAAGAGAAAAAAAATTACAAGTAATACCCAAATTTTATTTTTATTTATACTTTTAATCTTTTATCCAATGGCCTTTTTTCCTACTAAAATTTTAATATTGTAGTATTCTTTTTATAAGCATAACAAGATTGATTGCTTTCTTTCTAGGGAGAATGACAATAGTAAATAATAAAAATTAGCTGTTTTTTCTGATGAAAATTGATAGAGACATATATTAGGATTTGCTTTCTATAAATGACATCAGTTCACACTAGAGAGCCATCATCTATCACTTACTTTCCTTTGTAAGAGAGCTGTTTTTGCTTCAAGGTACCGCTGTGATCAGAATCAAATTAATGTCTAAATATGAGCTATCTTTGCCCTTCATCTGGGTTGCCTTTGATTTCCTTCCACTTTCATCTCAATTCTCAAAAAAGATGGAAGAATACTGCAAAAAGTGGTTTCCAGCTTTAGACAATCTGTTGTCTGAAAACAGAGGAAAAGGTCAGAATGGATTAGATGTGCTTATGCTAGTCAATGTGATTTCCGAAGTGCAGTGATTTTCTTATTCCAACAATTACATTGAGCACAAACCATGAGTTGGGATTGGTCTATGATTCTTCAGTCTTTGCTCAGAATTAAGCGTTGAAAAGAGATTATGTGATTCATAATGAAGACTTAGTGTGATTCATGAATAAATCCATTGTCCTCTAAAAAACTGAGATAAAATGTAGAGTAAGAATTATTAATGTTTGGATAATAGTCTTTTTGCTTAATTGCTTGAAAATCCTATTTAAACTTTATTAGGCACAAACAGCTACTTGAAGATTTGTTTTTATAAAGTCTTATTGATTAATTCTTGACATCCTGGGATTGAACTCAGGATCTTTGAACTCGGCTTCAGTCCCAGTCCTTTTTATTTTCATAATATTTTATTTTGAGTTGTGATCTTAAGTACCCAGGCTAGTTTTGAATTTGTGATCTTCCTGCCTCAGCCTCCAAGATTGCTGGGATTATAGGTACATGCCACCATGCCCATTTTCTTTTTTGAAATTTTTTAAATCTCTTAATTGACAAATAATTATACATGTTTATGGCTACTGTGTACTATTTTAGTATGTATTTACATTGCATAATAGCTTTTAAATTATCCTATCTGTTACTATAACAGTTAAAATCTATTCTTTAACAACTTTAAAACATTAATTACTAACTATAGTCACCATTCTATGAAATAGATGTCTGGAACATTGTTTTTCCTAATTAAAGCTTTCTACCCCTTGAAAAATGCCTCTCATTTTTTACCCTCACTCCAGCTTTGTATCCTCCATATTACTGTCTACTACAAGTTAGACCTTCTTAGATTTCGAACTCATGAAGTATTTGTTTTGCTGCTGTTGACTTTTTTCCTTTAGCATAATGTCCTCCAGATTCATAAATGTTGTCACAAATGACAGAATGAAAGAATTTTCATGTATTCTATCTAATATAGTATATCTGAGCCAGTGTTTTTGTATGTTCAGTACTAGTCATTTGTTAAAGGAAAAAAGTGGATGGGGCCAGGGAGATGGCTCAGTGGAATAAGCACTTCCTTGGTAAGTGCAAGGGCCTGAGTTCAATCCCCGGTTCCGCCAAAAAAAAAAAAAAGTGGAACAAATTTATGAAAAACTAAATATGTAGTTGGTATAAGAATATTCACAAGGTCTATAGGACATTGTTACTAACCAGTGGAATCATCTAGAAGTTTTATTTTTTAAAAAATGATAAAGTATCGTATAACCCCTGTTTATGAGAATAACAAATCTTCAAGTAATATTTAGAATTATGGATGACATTATACTGTAGAATACCACTGATTATTTTTCTTTCGCTTGGTCTGTTTATTTACCTTCTATTCTCAGGTCTATGCTTCATATCCAGATTTTCTTTAATATGTATTCTTTATTATTTCCCTGCTGTCCTGTCAGAAATTAAGGAGTGCACATTAAAATGAATTTTAATCCTGATTTAAATAATATTTGACTGGCATATTTGCTGGGAGGGAATATGAATTCATATTAAAGCCAAGTATTTGTTAGTTGAGACTATTCAGATTACTCATTTTTACTAGGATAGGAAATGTCACAGAATTCAGGCTGTTTTTGTGTTTTCCCTCAGTGGTAGTCCTAGTGTCTTGTGTATGGTTGGCACTCTAAATATGTTAGCTAATTGCGTTAACATGTATGTTTTCATAACACTATAAATGAGTTTCACATTGATAGTTGGTACAATAATTTGCGCTGGTTCTAATCTACAGTATGGGTATAACTGACTATAGACAGTGATGCTCAGAGCATCATTAGCTCGGAGCCCTTTGCTACAGAACCATCAATTGCACTATGTTGTATAGTTTTTGTAATTCAAATCACCAAAAATCTCAAGCAGCAATGAAATCAAGCTGTGACTTGGGAGTCTCTTGAACATTTGCCTTAAAAGGCACTCTGTTTTTGTTAAGACAAATCTTGAGGGTTTTTTGCTTTCTTTAGAAGTATTGAAAAAGGAAGAAATAATCTTTTGAGAATTGGTTTAAATGTATTTTAGTATTATATTGCTTAGTATTAGATGTATAATGTGTAACTTTTAAGCTTGTTTGTCGGATAAATACGCTAAAGATGTATTATGCTTATATTTTAAGATGCTGCCATGTTTTTTTTTTCTTCTAAATAAACAGTGGTTGACTGTATGACCAGATTTCCCCAGAAGAGACCTACCTTACATCTTTATCCCACCATAATTATTATAATTCACTCTTAGACATGCTCTCATTTATGGTCAGCTATGCATGCTTGGAAGTTTGCAGGCATGGGTCATCACTGGAGAAAATAGTTCTTAATAATAACAAGGTGATGGAGACAAATGTCACCAAAACTTTAACTACCAAATAGTTGACGGAGAGGAAAGATGTATTGCCTCCTCTCCCTACAAGTCCACATCTTCAAACAGGTATGGGACCTTTTCAGTGACACATGGAGGTTAAAGTATTTCTGGCATTAAGAGATTTGTATGAGGAAAGAGAAAATTTTATATTCGAGTACAAAAAAGGTTGGAAGAGACATCTGGAAGTACAGAAGTATTTAATGTTGTTCCTTGTAGCTATACCAACAGGAGCTTGAAAACAAATAATGGTTAATCATGATCTTCTGTAATTTAAAAACCAAAACTTATTTTCAATTTCTAGTAAAAGAAATTGTTCAATTGGAAGGAAAAACTGGGATGAAGAAAAGGACAAATGAAAGAAGGGAAAAAGATATATTTAGGTATATATGCAGAATAGTTTGGATAATTGTCAATTTCTCATCTTTTGAAAGGAGCAGTTAATGCTTAAAACTTTTATTTTACTCTGGTTTTTGTTTTCCTCTTTTTAATTTCTTGAAACTTTTTTGTTACTGTGTTTTTTGTTTTGTTCTTTAAATGAATCTTACAGGTTTTTATCTGGTAATCTGAACAACTAATTTGAAGATAGCACCATGTAATACAGCAACCATTGTTGAATTCCTATTGCTTTGTTTAGTGAAATCTTGTATCCTTCGTAATGCTTTTTTTTTTTTCCTACCACTATTTTGTATTCTTTAAAAAATTTTTTTTTCTAGTGAACCTGGAAAAAAGCCTCATGCTTTTTCTTTTTTCTTTTTTTTTGTTTTTTTTGGTGGTACTAGGGATTGAACTCAGGACCCTTTGCTTGCCAGGCAGGCACTTCCTCTACTGAGCTATTTCCCCAGCCCGCCTCATGCTTTTTCTGAGTAGTGATAGCAAATACTTAATAGTAAGTGCTCACTTTAGAGCACATTGTTCTAAACACATCTCAGATCTTAATTCCTTTGATTCTAGAACAGCATCTGAAGGTAGATATTCTGATTTTACCGATACGTAAACTAGGGCTCATGTAATTTAAGTAATAGCTAGAAAATGACAGATTTCTATCCCAAGCAGTTCAGCTGGAAAGCGTATTTTTTTCCATAATTTTATTGAGAAACAAATAGCAATGAGAAAGTTTCAAATCAAATTGGTAGGAGTGGAAAGCCTATTTTTAATAATTATGTTGAAATATGTCTTAATCGTTGCTGGGGCAAACGAGTGCAAAATACTGGTGCTATAACTTAGGGAAAGAAAAGTTTTTTGGCTCTTTCTTTCATCCATAGTGGGCTGGCTCCTGAGCAGGATGGCATAGAAGAGTGACATAGTGGAGAAAAAAAGCAGCTCAGTGTGTGGTAGACAGGAAGGGAAACAGACTGTTCCAGGTCACTTGCCTGTTTGACTCCATCTCCTAACAGCAAGTAAAATATTCTGTACCATAATCCAACATTCACTTTCTGAAAGCCCCACCTAGGAATATATGCACCTCTTGAGAGGCATCTAGATATAAACCATAACAACGTGAAGCAGTATTTACCAAGAAAATGATAGTATTGGATTATGTGTATTCACAGTAATAGGCCTTAGAAAGTCCCCAAAGTATCTCCCTGATGTTGAAGTGTGTACATATATATGGATCAGGAACCTGGGGAGAT